TTTCACAAAATAAGAACCATAGGTAAACATTGTGTGCATGCTAGGAGCATGGGACAAGTGTAATAATTCAAGTAAGAAGTTGATTACCCGAAATGACAAATAATGAGTAATCGATATGGTGATAAATAAAAAGTGTTTTATTTATGCTCAAAGGGTTGAGGCCATATGGGATTAGTATTATTCTTGTGTTTCACTTTGCATGTTTTGACTTCCAGAATAATTGAGTTTATTAAGAATAATCGAATTATTCAAACGGGCCACAGTCGTTCATATGTTGGAAGTAGATATGAATGAAGACTGTCGTGAATTGGTGTGTGGATTGTCTAAAAGAGTATTAGACATAAGCAAATGTTTGCTGCAACATTCATGAGTTCTTATGAATATGAATTTGAGCATTGGATTAAACCCATGCTCAGTTGGATCACTCCATGAATTGTATCATGAGTGATTGGTGAGACGATAACATCTTATATTCTTGAAACCGAGATGTGTGAGTTGTATCTTGCTAATCGGTTGCACATTGATAATATGAAAACGCACTAGTAACTTGGTGTTATAAGACATATTGTTGTGTGTGATTTGGTTAGTGAGTGCAAGCAAGCATTGTATCAAAGTTTATCCATTCCTTTTATCCAAAGAAGGATAAAAGCGATATCTTTGGGCCCCTCGATGGTTTAGTGATGACAAACGTAAATGCTCGGCCGGGCAAGGGCTAATTTGATTTGTTCAATTAGTCTGTCGTCATAAATCGGAAATCGAGAAGTAGTACAAAGAGAATGATTTGAAATCATATCTCATACGGTATCTAGAATGGAGGAATATATGATCCCTTATCTAAGGACACGCGTATCTGATAGGATCAGAGTTGACAGCGGCTTTGGAAAGCTACGATTGCAGATCAGGATCTGAAGTCATACGCAGAATAGTTATTAGACTTATCAAAGTGGGAGACTGTTGGATTAGTGTCTAAGTCCATAACTATTTTGGTATGTACTTGACCCGATGGTGCATGGTCCTTTTGGGTTGCCTTCACCAAAGCAACTTGATTGGAGAAATAAATAAAGAGAGAGAGGTTATTATGATTTATTAATATGTTATAAGAATAATATATTAAAGGAGAAATCATATTTTCTTAATTAATATTGGTCAATAATTAATTAGGAATTAATTTTGTGATCAAGTGTAATTAATTGAACTAGAGGGGCTGAATTGTAATTATGTGATAGTTACAGAATATGGTAATGGTTATCCTAAATATGGGTTGAACGAATTAAAGGACATAAGGATCCTTGAAATCCTCCAAAGGATAAAGGATAAGGGATTTCAAGGCTTATCTTATAGTTGCTTTGTGGATAAGCAACTAGATAAGGATAATGACTGAAACCCTATCTCTACACCTATATAAAGACCCTAAGGCCTTAGAATTCGTGTACTTGTTCCCACGGATTCCTAAGGACGAATTCTAACCTCTCTCCTCTCTCTTTATACCTTCTCCATTTGCTCTTGGTGTTTGTAAGCCATTAGAGGAGTGACACTTGTGACTCTAAGCATTCCAAAGTCAAATCAAGGAGATTTGGGATTGTTATTGCTACATAACAATCAAGGTAATATCTTAAACCTAATTATATGTTAATATCGATTTCCATATACTATTATTAGGGTTTGAAGTCTTGGATTCAAAGCATGTACAATAGAGAAACCTAGATCCAAGCATTAGGGTTTGTATGAGCACATAGGATGTCTTATGACCAAAACCCATCACTTACAGTGTTATAGCCTCGAGTGGCTAATGTGATGTATGTGGTATTTTGGGGAACACATAATTCTTCGTGCTTACCATGTTGTGTGTTATGTGTTTCATGTTTTTATCAGGATCGCAGGAAGACACCGACTTGATTGTACACACATTCGAGTTGGAGATATGTATTTGAAGGATCCTGGATTTGTGATAAACGATTTTTTAAAATGTGTTGATAATTTGTTACTTGTGAGTTTTAAGAAAATGTGACATGTGGTTTATTGTGTTTTAAAAATGAAAATTTTGTCGAAAATTTTACGTTGTTACAAGACTCCTTCTTGTTCCAAGCTCTTTACTTTTCAAGTTTCTTCAAGGAATGCACTAAAGCACACACTCTTAGCCTTACACACTCTCAAAATGGAAGGTAGATCGATTAAGGTTTGTCATTGGGTGATAAGGTGATAAGGGAGGCTGGGTAGAGGACTTAAGGTCCTTTAAATATGGTGAAAACCCTAAAAATTAGAGCTTTCACACTCAGCTCCAACGCGTCGACTTGAGTCCTCCAACTCAACGAGTAGGCTCTAAAGTTCACGCGGCTATCTCGATATCTACTCGACGATTTTGGGCCTCCAACTCGTCGAGTTGCCCTATTAATAATGAATATAAAGATATTTAAATTTATACATGGGAGTTGGGATGTTACATAGATCCTGTTGGTATTCTCTTCCAGTAAGAGGTGTTCGTTATGGGTTACAAGAACTCTAGGAATTCTTGATGGAAGCCAGATGATGGGTGGAATAAAGTTCACAGTTTTAATGAAGTGAACAAGCGACACAAAACTCAATTTGAGCAAAATCATCATCATGTAAGGTCTGATATTCAATCCTTCTACATTACAAATTTCCCATAATTTGTTCTACCTTCTGACGTGTGGCGTGTTTATGGTCGTCTGGGTAAAATTGTCGATGTGTTTGTTTCTAATAAGAAGTCTCGAATGGGGAAAAGGTTTGGCTTTGTTAGATTTTAGGGTGATTGCAACGTCAATCGTATGGTTAAGAAGAAACTATGTGATGTATGGTTTGGCTTTCATAAACTATATGTATCGATCGTTTCTACGTGTTGCTAAAAAGGATTTTTCTTTACACAAAATCCCCTCAAAAATTGAAAAATGAAGCTCCTGCTGTCTCATATGCAAATGTGGTTAAAGGTCAAGACAAGGGGAATAAAGAACGAGTTGATATCGCCATTGTACTTAATTCTGGGGATTTATTATTGAAAAGAGAAAGCTTGCTTGTCTAGCGAAGGAAATAGACTTTTCTACATTACCGAATCTTGGCATGTTATGTCATGATGAAGGTTTTGTTGATTTTCAAATCCGTTATGTAGGGGGACTATGCGTGATGTTTGAATTCACCTCTAAAGAAGCATGCACAAATTTATTGGTAAGTGATGCGGTTAGTCATTGGATCATAGAAAAACCACAGTGGGATAGAAATTTTGTTTCGCAAGATCGTATTATCTGGTTTGATATTGAAGGACTGCCTCTTCGGGCTTGGAGTAAGTTGCCATTTAGGGAAATTTTAGCAAAATGGGGTTGTGTGGTGCAACTAGATGATAATCTTGGTGAAGATATATACAAAAGTCATGAATGTATTCTGACTTCTCATCTTGGTATTATTTTTGAAGTGGTGAAAGTTAGCGTGGATGGTATCATATTTCCGGTTAGAGCTAAAGAAGCACCCAGTTGGACTTCGTCATTTTCTTGTGATTTCATGAAATCCGTTGGTGGGGAAGATGAGGGACATGTTTAGTTTGTTGACGAAGGAAGTAATTTCTCTATGAATGAGAATGATGAAGTATCTAAGGACCCGTTTGGAATTTATTGGAAAAACTTGACAAAGCTGAAATGAAAAATAAAAAATCTAATCATTTTGTTCCAAGAAAATCTGATGGCAACAAGGATGTCAACGATGTTAGTGAGCAATGCAATCAGTTTGACTATCCCATATCTTCATCCATGTCAACAACCTTTGCATTGGCCCCAATGCAGCAGTCCTTTTCTGATCGATGAACAACTGGAGCTTTAGAATCTGTTCCTGGTGTAGATCCGATAGCAGACAACCCCCTTCCTGGTGATCCTGTTTAGAAGAAGACGAGAAAACCTGATGTGAATCAGGTTTAAAATTTGTTGAGGCTCAATTTGGTCCATCTTAATATTCCTTTCCTCATCATGTGGTTGGTTCTTTGGGTTTTTCGGGAGGTTTTGGTAGAGTTTCGGGAGTTAACTTATCTGAGTGTTTCAGGATCTTCTTTTAATAGTAATTCCTTTATTGTTGAAGTAAAAAAACCATAGAGTTGGGAGAAGCTTACTCATCCCCCGAGGTTCTCTAGTAAATGCTATTCGTTTAATGGTGGTAATCAAAGTGTTTTAGGATCTTCTTTTAATAATAATTCCTTTATTATTGAAGTAAAAAAAACCATAGAATTGGGAGAAGCTATGGGATATAATTTGGATGGATGTCTAGATTGTTTAAAAAAATTGTAGGAGGTCACGATGAAAGAAAAAAGATTTGATGAATTGTCTCTCAATTAATGTTTAAGGGGCAGGTTGTATGGATCAATGTGCTTGGATTAGAAATTTCATCATCTTAAAAAAGTTAAATTTTTAGCTATTCCAGAAATGAAGATGGAATAAATTGACTTGGTCTCAGTAAGATCTTTTTGGGGAAATGCTTCTTTTATGCATGCATTTTCTCCTTCTCGTGATGTCTCCGGCGGTATTCTTACTATTTTGGATCTGAATTGCATTTCTCATAAAAGGACGTTTATCACGAATTGGTTCATTGCTATTGAGGCGATTTGGACTAATTTGGGTCTAGAAATGTTATTTATTGTAGTTTATGCCCTACAAGCCATTGATTGTTACCAAAGGGCTTGTAGTCCAGCTGTATCAGATGGTGCCCTCCCTCTTTGAGGTCGAGGGTTCAAGTCCCGTCGTGGACATAGGTGGAATAGGTGTTGTTAGCTTAGGAGTAGATTAGATTTGCTGGTTCAAAAAAAAGTCGTTGATTGTTAGAGACAACTCTAGAATGATATTACTCAGATTATATCTTCTTTCCCACCAGAATGTATCACTATGGGTGCCTTGATGAAGTTTGAGATGGATCTGAAAGATTGGGATCAACCTTTTATCCGGCTAATGCGCAATCCTTTAACGATTTTATTGATCATCTTGATCTCGTTGATGTTATGTTAAGTGGTTCGCGTTTCACTTGGAGTGACAAATGGGGCTCTAATATTAGTAAGATCGATAGATTTTTGGTTATGGAAGGTATTTTGTCATCATTCCCTCATCTTACGAGTCTTGTCTTGGAAAAAAAGATTCATGATCATTGTCCTATTTTGTTATTTGAACATCGTGTTGATTATGGTCCTACCCCCTTTCCGTGTTTTTCATTTTTGGTTTGAGATGGCCGGTTTTGATGGTATAGTAGGAGAGGACCATGGTGGTTTTAGATAACACTTGGGTTATCTTTAAGAAGAAAATACAACATCTTAACACTACTAGAAAATGGACTTTCATCAACGGAATTAGCGACGGACGACATCCGTAGCTAAATTAGCGACAGATTTCATAGAGATCAGCGGCAGAAATCAAATTAAGTGATAAATAAAGCAATCCGAATTTCAGTGACGGATCATCGACGGATTAGCTAGGGATTAGCGATGGAAAGAGTAAATAAAATTGGTTTTTCATATCCATTTTGGTACAGGTCAATAATCTAATTAGGTCCCTGGCTTTAGATTTGTAGGGTTTTAAGGTGATGATGGAGATATGGGTTGCTTGCAAACTTTTATGCTTTAATGTATTTTTTTTTGTTTAAAAAAGATTTACTTTTATGTTATTTTATTCTATTTACAACTTTTGTCGATGCATTTAAATATGTATATAATTTTTTTTATCTTTATTCAGCTAATGTGAAGGTAACTTATCTTTCTTTTTGAGTTGCATCTTTTCATGTGGAATAATATTTACTGGATCAGGTTCCATGCTACAGAAGTACAATATTTTATATTCCGAAAATGCTTTTTTGTTCATCATTGTTTTTCAGATTGATAATGATTTTATGGCGGCTATTTAGGGATCTGATGAGATCGCTTACGTTAACACTCATCCTGTTTGTTTTGAATCGTACTATAAAGTTGAACTGGAAATTCGGAGGTCAATCCGTTCTTGATAATTTCTTTAATTAATTATTTAGTTTATTTATGGAAAAATTTCTTTTTATCTGAAAGAGAAATCTCTAGAAAAGTCCCAAACTAAATTTTGTTTACAGAAAAGCACAGAATATCGGTTAAAACTTCGAAAAAACCCTTTTCGACCGGTTTTGAAGATTTATCCGGTATTCCGTCTTTTTTCGTTAGTTTGCTTAAAATTTTGGGACTTTTCCGGAAACTACCTTATAACCAAAATATTGGGACTTTTTTGAAAATTACCATGGAATTAATGGATATTATTATTAACAAATCATTTATAAACATAACAAATATTTTCATTATAAAAAAGAATATACACTTGTTGCTAATTTCTAGGAATAAATTGGTGGTCTAAGTACTCCTCTATTGCTTATTAACCACATCAAACTCTCTACGTTCCTCCTATGCATCGTTGTGCATATGATGATGAGATGTACCCAGTGAGTGTTCATCTAATGTTGGTGTTCCTCTTATGTTATTTAACCTAACTACCACCCAACATCTATACCTCACACGGTAACAACCATAGACTAACATACATCTATAAAATGTGAAAAAGTAAATCGTAAATGATAGTTTATGTGGAAAAAATTGTAGGGTGATTATCTATGTAAATTGTCACTCAGTGTTTATTTTTCACTATGTTTGTAATTTGATGGTTGTTACCGAATAATGTATGGCGGTTAGGTGATATTTACGTTAAAGAACATAATGAAAGATCTATATATTCAAGAATTATTATTTAATGATATTTTCTAATAACATGTGATCATATAGCATCACACCTAATAGAAAGTAGACACTTATTAATTGTGTATTAATAAATATTATCAACTCTTGTATAACGATACATAGGAGGAGCATAAGGAGTTTGAAGTGGTCAACAAACAATAGACCATGTCGACCATTCTATTCCTAGAAATTAGAAACAAATGTATTTCCTTTGTTTATAATAAAAAATATTTGTTATGTTTATAAATGATTTGTTAATAATAATATCTATTAATTCCATAGTAATTTTCAGAAAAGTCATAATATTTTGGTTATCGGGTAATTTTCAAAAAAGTCCTAATATTTTGAGCAAACTAACGAAAAAGGATAAAATACCGGCTAAATCTACGAAACCGGCCAAAAAGGGTTTTTTCGAAGTTTTAGCCAGTAGTTTGTGCTTTTCTATAAACAAAATTTAGTTTGGGACTTTTTCATAAATTGGACAAAAATTTTGGGACTTTTCTGAAGATTTCCCTATCTGAAATCTGAATTTAATATGTTTGGAATTTGACAGTGATGTTGGTGATTTGTTTCACTAATGTAATTTAAGTATAATGAAATTACTTTATTTACTAAAAATGATCTTAATAAATATTAAACAAGTAAGGAATGTGTGGTGTGCACACTTGTTTAAATTTATTCAAGATTAAAAGTAGATTGTCATTTAGGGGCGGAGTCCCTGAACGAACGGGGGTTCGGGGGCAGCGTCCCTGGGAGCGGGGTCCAAGGGGCAGAGCCCCTGTATTGAAAAAGTATCAGAAATCCAAATTTAGAATACTTGACTCGCTTTTTGACTTCGTATTAATTTTATAGAAAACCCGGATATATGACAGTTTGTTGACTGTTGTCAAACTGTTTTATGACAGTTTTCAGACAAGGAAGGTATTTAACTAATTTTGGTCAGTTTTTTCTGGTACTTACGAAAATTCATATACTCATTCTCTGTTCTTTTCTCTTTTGAGTATTATCCAATCAAAGATTAGGAGTACCACCCAATACTTTGATTTGCTAGTGAAATCACAATTCTCAGAATTTCCAAGACTGTTTTATCCTGATTATCTTACAAGTTATAAATCGAAGCTTATTTGCAAGCTGTGTGGTTGAACCATTTTCTGTGGAAAATGGTTTTCTTACCACTTGTTTGATGTTTTCTATGTTTTCTTATAGAAACAAACTCCATAAAAAAAGGAAAAATTTTAATGGATTTGAAGCAAGAAAATGAAGAATACAATTCAAATTATGCAAAAATGAACCATTTTTGTGGTTTTAATTGATATGATGTTACTAATGTACAAATATCAATGAAACATATATGTATGAAAAATAGAGTTTATGAAATTCTTTAAACTTTAAATTCAAGGATACATATTTCAAAACATTATAACAAACCATTTTTCTGCATAAAATAAATGTAAAACAAAAATAAATTATAAAAAAATGTAACTTTGCAAAGACTGCTATTAGGCTAAGAGGAGTGGTGACACTCTTGACACCTTACCACATAAGCATTTTAAATGCGACGTCATTTTTCTCATTTTAACACCTACACATAACATTTTGTAATGAGTAGTAACACTTTTAGCACTTAATTTTTTATATTTTTCTTTTTTCTAATTTATTTTAATTACTATATTTTAATAAATATATTTATTGTATTTACTTTTTGTAATTTAATTTAATTGCTATATTTTAATAAACAAATATTTTTTATTCAATATTAAATTATATATATATATATATATATATATATATATATATATATATATATATATATATATATATA